CTGCACCCTCTCGCTCATATCCATCTGACAAGTATCTACTGGGCATGCAGTACGCACTTGGCCGAGTGCAAGGGGTTCAGGAGACCCAGCGGAGAACAGGTCAGATAAGATCCTGCACTTCTGTCCCGCACAAGCAAGGCAGGGAAGACAGATGATAGAGGGGCGAACAAATATATTTATTTATATATCCATGGATTTTGTCCATCTATTCAATAAATAATTGCTGAGTACTTACTAAACACTGGAGATACTGCAGTGAGCAAGGCACAGGTGGTCTCTGCCAACACGGAGCGTCCGTTCTCGTGAGGGGTAAGGGGTGCCACATAATAAGCAGAAAACCAAAAATATAATAAAATAAACATAGTATGTCAGGACATGAATGTCATCTATCTCTAACTAGCGTAAGTGGGATGTGGCCATGGCTTCCTACCTTCCTTCAATAGGGAAGTCAAGGGGATACTGAAGCACAGCCCCCCAAAATGAGAAGGATCCAGCTATAGGAAGTGCAGGGCAAAGCATTCTAGGCAGAAAGAACAGCACTGTGAGGGCCTTGAGCCAGGTCCTCTACTTAGCATCGTGCAGGGATCATCACTTTACCACCACCGCACCAGGCAGACACTATTACTAATAACAGATAATGAGGCTTGAAGAGGAAGACAGACTCCTTGAACACATCCATCCCTTAACGCCTTCATGTGGCAGAGCTGGGATTCGAACGCAGGTTCATGTTACCACTGAAGCCCGTGCCTCAGTCGTGATACTCGGCCCCTCTGTCCTCTAAGAAAGACGGGCATCACCAGAGCACCTGCCGAGGGGATGAAGGGATATTCTGGCCCTGCAGCTGATGCCACAGGCAGAGCCAGCAGCCTCGGGGCCACCTGGCAGGACCATGCTGCACAAACAGTCAGTCCCTGGTCATAGAGCCAGATCCCAGGTTTAAGCTGAGTATCTCGTCACTGTCGATGAGAGGCTCCACCACAGCCATTACAGGATACCCTAGCTGGCTCTCTTTTCCGCTTTCCTCGAGACAGGATCATGGAAGCATGACGACATATGGGAGAGACGGGTAGGGAAATGGGGAATAACAACACAATAATAATAACAAAAACTTTTATAATGCTTCCGGTGCTAGCTACCGTCCCAAGGGCTTCCGTTACGCTAACTTGCTTAATCCTCAAAATAAGCCTCTAACATCACCCCCATTTTACAGATGAGGAAACTGAGGCCCAGAGGGTCTTATCACTTACCTAAGATGGCACAGCTGATAAATGGCAGAGCAGGGATTTGAACCCAGGTGGCTGATTCCAGAGCTCACACTTCTTTCAGCCTTATTATGACAAAAGAAGACAAACAGAAAAACACACAGAACAAATGTATAACCTTGTGAATTGTTATAGTGCAAACACCCTTGTAAGCAGCACACAGGTCAAGAAATAGAACTTTGCCAGAAACCCCAGGAGCCCCTGTCTGTGCGCCCCTCCCAGGCACAGCCCCCTCCTGCCCTCTCTCTAAAATCAACCGCAATTCAGATTTTTATAGGAAGAATTTTTTTTTTTTTTTTAGGAAGAATTCCCTGTGTTTCTCTGCAGTTCTCTCACCGAGTGCGTATCCCTAGTCATTGCTGGTTAGTCAGCCCAAATTTGGTACCTTTTAAGTCTCTTCCAATCTATACGTTCTCCCTCCATCCCTCTCTTTTTCTTGTAATTTATTTATGGAAGAGCTTTAGTTGTTTGACCTGTGGCTTTTCCCAGCCTGGATTTTGCTGGTGGAATACGCACAGTACAACTCAGCACGTTGCTCTGTCCTCTGAATTTCCTGCCAACTGCCCGCTGGATCTAGAGGCATGCTCAGACTCAGGTTCTATCCTTCTGGCAAGGTCCAGGGAGGCGGAGCAAGGGGGGAGGCATATTCTTCCATCAGGGGCATGGAATGTCTCTTTTCTTCTGTCTTTTGATCAGAGCCCATGCCATTAACCACATTGCTATAGGGATGCTTCCCGGTGTCCTCAGCTGCTCTATGATTTGCTCCACCCCCTGGACATAGCTGTCTCCAAAAGCAAGCCTTTTATAGGCACCACGGTTTCTGCTGCCGGGAGCCTGGCTGGCGCTTGAAGGCAGCCCTTCAGAGGTCCCACCTGAGCTTCTCCACACTCCAGGGGCTGCGGTGGATGGGGCCCTGCCTCCCTGGTGAGCATCACCTCTGTCTGCTTCTCCCTCCAGCCCAGTTCACCAGGCAGATGGGATTCTGCGTCATTTCCCAAGAGACCCAGGCTCTCCCTTACCGCTCGGCCTTTGCTCATGCTGTTGCCTCAACCAGAAACACTCTTCCCCTCACCTCCTCCGACTGAGCATGGCTGATCCTTCCGGTCCTAGCAAATCTGTCCCTCCCACCCTCTCCCCACCCTGCCAGATTACCTTTTACAGAGCCTCACTTCTCCTAGGCTAACCTCGTAAGTAGCCTCATAAGCAGCACCAATGCCACTACATTATACCTGCTTGTTTTCTTAACCATTTTCCCTGCTAGAGACAGGGACCCTAGCCCCGGACCTGGCATACAGTAGGTGCACAGTAAATGTCTGTCCAATGCATGCATGCACCGATGAATGAATTGGACTTTACGAATCACATGGAGGCAAATCCAGGCTTGGACTGAAGGACCTTTCAGACAATGAGAGCCCTTCTAAGATGACACACACCCAGTTCCCCTACCCCCCCGGGGTGGGTAGTTAAGCAGTTGTGTGGTGCAGATCACAGAAAGAATTCCCACCTGGGTGGCTCAGTCGGTTAAGCGTCTGCCTTTGGCTCAGGTCCTGATCCCAGGGTCCTGGGGTCCAGCCCCGTGTTGGCCTCCCTGCTTGGTGGGGAGTCTGCTTCTCCCTTTCCCTCTCCCCCTGCTCCTGCTCTCTCTCTCTCTCTCTCTCAAATAAATAAAATCTTAAAAAAAAAAAAAAGAATTCACACCTGGGATAGAATCCATCTAGAAAAATGAGTCTTGGTTCTTGGAACATAGCAGAATCTTCTCTTCAATCTTACTGGGAACCACTAAATAGAAGCCAAGTTCAAGAGGAGGAGTTCGTGTTTCAGCCCTGGAGGAGGCAGAAGCCCAGCCGCTGGGCTTTCCCTTGTCCTGAGCACTAGGGTTTCTCTGAACAGTGGCCTGCCTGTATTTTCAAGTTGCTTTATCATAGCCACTGTGTCTGCGATTAGGAAGCCACCACACTGGGGAAAGAAGTGTCCTAGCTGACACCCTAACTCCACCCTATCCCTGTGGTGCCGCCGGGGGCTCATCCCTTCTTCATACCCACAGAAGCCCTCTTTCTATGAACTGCTCCTCTGGCCCCCCAAGGCCATCACATTTCTGAAACCACGTAGATCGGAGGGCTCCGGGCCGAGCCAACCCAACAGAGGAGCAAGCAGAGCTGCAGGCCTGCCTTGCAGGGCGCGGAGCCAAGGGCTTAGTCTCGGAATTGGATTACGAGAGTGAATTTAGAACTCCCAGCAACAACCCCCCCCCCCACCTCCCCAGCCTCAGGGACACGGGGATTACCCAGGCCTCTGGCCGGGGGCCCTCAGTCCTTCCCACATTCCCTGCCAAGTGTGAGAACAAGGATCCTGCGGCTGCTGCGCATGAGGGCAGGGATCTCTCCACCCAGCCCCCACTTCCAGCCTTTGGCCCACAGCCTCCCCCCACCCCCACCCTGCTGCCTGGGAGCACACCTGCCTCCCACGTGTCTGGGACTTAACAGCAGTGTCAGTCAAATTGTGGCCCAGCAGTTAGAAGGACTCACTTCAGTGCCCTTTCCTGGGGATGAGCCTTTAGTTCCGCCAGAATCCACCGCCTACTTCTATAACCGTGGCTGTGGAATTCAATGCTTTGGTGAAATTCATATTCTCTGGCAAAACTATTCATTACTCTCATGTCATGGGTGCTCTTGATTTGTTGAGGCTTTTAAAAGCCGAAGTATGGTCCTCGACTGGCAGCAAGGACCCCCCCTGGGAGCTTGTTAGAGATGCACGTTCACGGACCCCACTCCAGACCCTGAATCGGAATCACTAGAGGGGGGCCCAGATCTCTGGTTTAACAAAGTCTCCAGGTGATTCTCACACGCCACAGCTTGAGAACCACAGGCTCGAAGTACACGGGTCCGTCCCACACACCTGTCTGATTTCACACTAACCCTGTCAAAGATTCTGGGCAACTTCTACCCACTAACATCTCCGTTAGACTCCTTCAACCCTTCACCTACGGAACTTAGTTACAGTGATTACAAATGGGTCCTGTTTAACAGTGCCTTGCGCAGCTGTTATGTGAATGGCGGCCCTCGGAGGGGATTTTATTAGCCTTTCTTATTCCCCTACTACATATGGGGCTCAGAGAGGGGACACGACTGGCCCAAAGTCACAGAGCAAGTAAACCCAGGGCCTAAGCACTCTACTCTCCCACTGCCCACTCTGCTGAGTGGGGGGCAGCCGTTTGGACATCTGTTTTACACACACCCTGGGATTTCCTCCGTGGCAAACACCTTGTCATCGCTTCCTCAGGAAAGCCTCTGCTGACCTCCCCGGAGGACGCTAGGCCTCCTTATTAGAGCCTACCACAGGCCCCTGCATTTTTTGTGCATAAAAGCATCACGATTTGTAACCCCGGCGTACTGAAGCACTTCATGTCTGTCTTCCCGCCAGGCTGGAAGCTCCAGGAAGAGAGGAAGTGGGCAGACCCTGCTGGATGCTCACCCAGTACCTATTCTCCTTTTCGTACAGAGCCTGACTTTGTTTGGGGCAGCTGGGTACCCAGCCAGATCACTCTCTCCCCCAGGCTCCCCTCCAGTTAGAGGTACAAGATGCTGGCTTCTGAGATGACAGCGGGTCCCTAACGGTGCCCAATAAACGCATGCTGAACGCAGGACTGTTGGGCCAGCTCCGGGCGTGCAGTCGGTACTCGGGAAATGCACGTCATCTGACCGGGCCCAAGAAGCAAAAGACCCCCACAGCTGCCCTTGCCTGGGAAATACGTTTATTGGGTCCGAGAGAACAGGGCTGTGGCGAGCTGGGACGGGCACAGAGCGAAGGAGGGCGGCGAGAGGCTTTGCCCCGGGGCGGACATGCTGTGTGGGGGCTGCCGGCGGGCTCCCTGGCCCACCCCGCCAGCAGCGGCTGGGTCCGTGGCACTTGGCGCCCGGCGTCACCTCGGCCGGCTTGGCACGGTGGCCTCGGCGGCGGCGGGCGCCCCCCCTTTCCAGTTGCAGGAGTTGTGAGTCTTTCACAGTGCGGAGGGGTGGGGGTCCGGGGTGGGCACCTCCCCGGGGTGCAGGCAGGCCCCGTCCGCCAGTCCATCCTGGGCTCTCGGCGGCTGCGGCGGGGTGAGGCGCACTCGGGCTCCTCTTCTCCCGCCCGGGAGCTTGGCAGTCCTGGAGGGGCCCTGGCGGCCTCAGCGGGACATCATCCGGACAAACTCTGCGAGGGCACGGGACGGGGTGGGGAGAAAACAGCACAGTCAGGCCCAGCTCAGGCCGCCGCCTCCAAATCTCCCTCGGATCCGAGGCCCCCCCACTGCCATCGGGCCTCTTCCAATCCATCTTGTGCACAGCAGCTGGCGGGGGAGTGGGGGGCTGTTTCATCTACATGGCTGACCCCTCTGAAACCTCTCAGGGCTCCCCGTGGGAAAATGTCCAATATCCTGTCGCTGGCCCCGAGGCTCTCCCTGCTGTGGCCCCAGCTGACGTCTCTCTCTCACGGCTCACCCTCCCTGAGCTCCAACCGCCCGGATCTCCCTCTCAGGGCAGCGGGCACACTCACCCTCCCTCCACCTCTCAGCTTGCCTGCAACCTGTCCGCTCTCTCTCCTTTTCCTTTGAACTAGACTTGATTATTTGGAGCAGTTTTAGGTTCACGGCAAAATTATGCAGCCAGTACAGAGTTCCCATTTACACCCTGCCCCACACCTGCACAGCCTCCCCCACCATCAACGTCCCGCACCAGAGTGGGACGTTTGTTACAATCGATGAACCTACGTGGATGTGTGATTATCACCCAGAGGCCACAGTAACATTCAGGTTCACCCTCGGTGCTGTCCATTCTATAGGTTGGGGTAAATGTGCAAGGACGTGTATCCACCACTACAGCGTCATACAGAACGGTCCCATGGCCCTAAAAATCCTCTGTGCTCCACCTGTTCATCCCTCCCTCCCCCTAAACCCCTGGCAACCCCTGATCTTTTTACCATCTCCATAGTTTTGTCTTTTCAAGAATGTCACACAGTTGGAATCACATACTATGTAGCCTTTTCAGATAGCGATATGCACTTAAGATTTCTCCCTGTCTTTTCATGGTTTGATGGCTCGTTTCTTTTTAGTGTGAATAATACTCCATTGTCACAGTTTATCCACTCACCAACTGAAGGACGTCTTGGTTACTTTCAGGTTTTGGTAATTGTAAATAAAGCTGCTATAAACATCCGAGTGCAGGTTTCTGTGTGGTCGTAAGTTTCAATTCATTTGGGTAAATACCCCTTCCTTCTTTTTCACCTGGCAGTTCCTACTCATCCCTTAGGGCTTTACTTATTTAGAGCCCCCTCCAGGAAGCCTTCCTTAATCCCCCCTCCAGCTTGGCACAGATGCCCCCTCTGTACCCCACAGCTTGCTGTATCCCTCCCAAAACAGCATGGATTATACTGTTGGCTTCTGTTCTCCTTGCTGGTCTTGGGTTCCTCAAGGCAATCTCGACATACAGTAGGAGTACGATACATGCTAGAAGAATAAATGGGGGATGCTGGGCTTGTAGGGAAGGGCCGTTGTCTGTGGGGGTGGGGGGGGGCACTGCCAGGACACAGGACGACCTGAAATTTTCAAATCTGGTGGCAGCAAAGCCATCTTTCCATGTAGCCACACTCTCTTCAAACCTGGATTCTACCTGCTCCCCAGAAAAGACTTCCCAACCTTTGGGTTCTGGATACACTCACATTCTGGCACATGTTTATCTTGTCTTTCTGCTTAGAATGCAAGTTCCTGGAGTTCAGAGTCAATGTTTTACTATATTTTTGCCCTGTATCCCATAGTTGTCCTGAATGGTATCACGCAGTGTAATGTATGTAGTGGTTGAGATTCCAGACGTGGAGTATGATCCAGCGCTGCATCTTAATAGTGAGGCGATCTCAAGCAAGTCATACGACTTCTCACATGAGCCTCAGCGTCCTCATCTGTATCATGAGGCAATAATAGTGCAATCCAGAGGGTTGTTGTGAGAATAAAATGGGACAATATGTGTAAGTGTACTTAGTACACTGGTATGTAATACATGTACAATAAATGATAACTATTGGAATTATTACTGATTCGTTTAAAAAAAAAACACTTTTACTGAGCATTAGCTATGTGCCAGGTGCTGAATTATGAGGAAATACAGAGATAAAGAAAATGTTCTCCAAAAGTTCCGTCAGGAGGAGACACAGCTAGCACTCGAGGGACAGTGTGAAGAACGAGGGCGAGCCTGAGGTGCTGTAAAAGCCCGGGAAAGAGGAATTCAGCCTGCAACCAGTGAGGAAGTGCCAGAGGAAGTGGCCCCACTGCTGGGTCTTGAAGGGTGAAGAGAATTTAGTCCAGGTGAAGAGCAGAATAAAAGGCATCCTGACCAAAAGAACAGTGCATTCAAACAAGAGCTTGGCAGGATCATGGGCCACAAGTACCAGAGTATGGCTTTAAGGCAGAGGGTGAGTAAAGGGACAGGTGGAGCTGCAACTGGGCAGGTGAGCTGTGGTCCGATCTCAGGGGGCCTGAGTGTCAGATTGATGAATGGGGTGCTCTGAAAATATCTAGCATGGATGGAAGCAGGAGCAGATGGACAGATAAATGGGTAGAGATGGATGGGGTCAGTAGACACAAGAGTGGATGGATGGATGGATGGATGGATGGATGGATGGACCAATCGATGAGAAGATGGACGAAGATGGGGAAATGACTCTACAAACAGATAGATCAATGGAAGTGTGGGCAGAGATATAGGCAGATGGAAATACATGAATATATGAACAGAGGCACAGAAGTATAGATGTATGGGACGCCTGGGTGGCTCAGTCAGTTAAGCCTCTGCCTTCAGCTCAGGTCATGATCTCAGGGTCCTGGGATCAAGTCCTGCATTGGGTTCCCTGCTCAGCGGGGAGCCTGCTTCTCCCTCTACCCCTGCCCCTTGCTCATGATCTGTCTCTCTCTCTCAAATAAATAAAATCTTAAAAAAAAAAAAACGAACAAAAAACAATCCTTTAAAAAAAACAGTATAGCTGTATGGATAGACAGATGTACATGGGTAGGTGGATACATAGATGAATGTACAGAAGAACGAACAGACGCATAGATAGTTATATAAGTGCAAGAATAAATGGTAGTATGGACAATTGTTCAGAGATGGATGAGTGGATAGACACCTGGACACATGAAAAGATGGGCAAATGAACAGATGGCAAGATGGACTGATGGATGGATGGGGGTAGGAATGAATAGGAAGGTGATTATAGGAGTGCATGGATGGAGGGGTAAGAGAATGGAAGGGTAGGAGCATGGAAAGTTGGAATCACGATGGATACACAGTTGGAAGTCTCCATGGATCGTCACTACTGCCTTCGCTTCTCTTCCACATTCAAACCCCACCTACCTTCAAAGTCTACTCGTCCATCCCCATTGAGGTCCACATCTCGGATAATTTCCTCTATGTCTCGGTGTCCCACCTGATGACCCAGGAGTTTCCTCATGGCCTCTCGTAGCTCACTGGTGCTTATCTCCCCATCACCATTGGTGTCAAACTGGAGAGGGCAAAGAGGAGAGAGGAGTAGCTACAACATGGGGGAATGTAGAAGCAGATCCCAAGTTTGGGCTCCTTTTCTAGCCTCACTATCTCCCCTTCCCCAAAGACCCTTCTCTGTCCAAGCTCCTTCCCCTGGTATGTGATCCAGGGCTCGGATTTCTCTTCAAGTAACCGTCCTGGGGTTGGAACTCTAACAACCCCCCCACCCCTGCCTGTCCAGTGCCCATTACTCACCTCTCGGAAAGCATCTCGCAGTTCCTTCACTCCGATCATATCTGCTGTTTCTGCCAGGAGTTTAGGTCCCATTAGCTCTACGAAGTCATCAAAATCCACATGGCCACCCACTGGAGACAGAGGAAAGGGCTAGGTCATCCATCCAAGCACTCCCCATCTCTAATTAAGCAAAGGAAGGCACTGTGAACCCCTCCTTGACCTATCTAGTGCCAGGTCCAGGGTACAACCAAAGGCCAAATGAGGACAGAGAGGTGACTATGGACAGTTGGTCTGTCAAGGAATGGCTTAGGGGGGTGGCCAGGGTTAGGCTGAGGGAACCAGTCAGGAGGTGGACAGAGGCAGATACGGATGGAAGAAAGAAACACTGGGGAGGGCTCAAGGTGGGCACACTGCACAAACTCCTGGAGCCACCTAGCAGAATGAGACTCTCAGCACTCGTGGTGCTAGCTGGCTTGAGAGTTCACCGTGACTCTGTGGGCTGTGTCTCTTTGTGGTCTCACCTCTCTACTCCCTCCTGACGCTTCCCTTCACCTTCACATAAACTGCTTGCACTCAAATACTTGTCTCGGGGTCTGCTTCTGGGAGAACCCAAACTAAGACAGATAATAACATAGGAGTAATAGCTTCCTTCTGTTCAACAATCCCTGTGTGCCAGGCCCGGGGCTGTTTCGCAGATATTCCCTCATGGACTTCCTGTGCTTCTCTCATTTTACAGTTTCCCCCTGAGAAAACAGGCTCGGAGAGGCTAAGTCATTTGCCCCAGGTCACAGAGCCTGGAAGAGATGGCCCCAGAACTGAGACCGGGCCTGTGTGACCGCAGAGGACCACGATGGTGGGGCCGGGAAGGGAAGGAGGTGCACAGTGGAGGGACTCACGGTTCATGTTGATCTGCTGGGACAGTTCAATGAGCTCCATCTCGGTGGGCATGTAGCCCATGGTACGCATGCAGTTGCCCAGGTCCCGACAGTTGATGTAGCCATCCTTGTCCTTGTCGAATTCTCGGAAGGCCTCTCGGAGCTCTGAGGAAAAGAATAAAAGTGGGCATGGCTGAAGAAAAGACAAAAAATGGGACCCGCAGAGCCTCCGGGCAGAGGCGGCCCGAGCGCCCGCCCACCGGCTGGGAAAGCCAGGCCCCGGAGCTGCCAGGACTGCACTCCTCTGACCCCTGGCCCCACAGAGGATGCCCAGCCCTATACCAGGCCACATCCCCAGGAGGCCAAGACGTCTCTTCCTCTCTTCCCAGCAATCTCCCTTCCCTCACCTTCCTGGACAGCTGAGCAACCCTTTCCCCTTAGGTGAAAGGTCTTACCTTCAATCTCCTCTGGTCGCAGCGATCTGTCCTGAAATAAAAGAACGTTGTCCTATTAGCAGCTGCGAGGGGCCTAGAAGTCACAAAATGCCCAACCTGGGGACCATCCAAGGGACAGCAAGCACCAGGTGGGGAGAGTGCCTGGACCATGTCTTTGAGGGAAAAAAGTTCAGCCCCACATCCCCCATAGACACAGGAGATGCCCAGGGACCCCAGAGCCCCATCTGTGTCCCCATTCCAGACACAAGAATTGTGTCAGGGAACAGAGTTGGTCTGGAGGCAAAAACCTGTAAATAAAGCGGGGTGGGCAAGTTGTTGTGGGTCACAACAGAGAAGAAGTCTGCAAGGCAACGGGAGAAGGGCTAGAGGAACAGAAAGCCGGGACTAGACAGGCTGCCTGCGAGGGAGGAAGGGGAGGAGGGGGAGCCACGGGCATGGAGGCAGATTTAGGGCTGTGCCCTGCTTCTTGGGCATGGCGCACCTTCTCCAACCTGACCCCCATCCTACACCTTGCCCCGTCATGGGACACAGCATAGGACCCTGGGGGCCACCAGTGCCAGGGGCTGCCGCCAGGGTCCAAAGCACACATCTCCAGCTTCGAGCCATGCCCAGGTCTCCTTGGGGACTCAAGGAAGCCCTGGGTCTAGGGCATCTGAACAGATGGCAGAGAAGTCTCCAAAGAGCAGGCCCAGAGGACGCACAGGGTGGGCTCTGGCCCGTGAGGTGCCAGTCACTCCAGGCCTTCCCAGGAGGCAGACAGATCAGCACGAGATGGATGCCCAGCTGGACCTATTCAGTAGGCTCCCAAACTGGCGCGCAGGGCTCAGCCTCCCCACATGTCACAGCTCTCTGACTTTGGGCAGGAAGAATGTGGGGCAGGGTGTGCCTGCCCTAAGGAAGTGCACGCCGGGTGTGGGCACACCTCTCATGAACACACACAGGCGGGCCCCAGCAAGCATGAGGCATCTCAGCTGTGCACGCAGGCTGTTCTAGCCAACAGGGTCAGGGCAGGCAAGAGACAGCTTCTGCCCACCCACTGGAAACTGGCCCCAGGACAAGAGACGCCAGCTCTGGGAACTCTGAGAATCTTCTAGAAAGGGGCTGCTGAGGGACGCCTGAGTGGCTCAGTTGGTTAAGCGTCTGCCTTCGGCTCAGGTCATGATCCCAAGGTCCTGGAATCAAGTCCTGCATCGGGCTTCTTGCTCGGCAGGGAGCCCGCTTCTCCTTCTGCCTGCCTCTCTCCCTGCTTGTGCTCTCTCTCTGACGAATAAATAAAATTAGGAAAAAAAAAAAAAAAGAAAAGAAAGGGGCTGCAGAGCAACATCTTGGGTGGCCAAAAAGGATGATTTTTGCAATGCCCTGTACCCCCAGCAAGTGAAGTGAGCAAGTAGGCAAGTGTATGCGTGCACACACCCTAGGACAAGTCATTCAGACGTGAGTCCTTTCCCACCCTTCAAGCCTCAAGCAGCATCCCACTTCTCCAGGACGCAGCTCTGCACGATTGGAGAGGAACAGGGTGCTGCTGACCCCCACTGCAGCACCCTCCCCTTCTTGCATAGCCGGAGCCAGGGAGCAGGAAAGCCAGGTACCCCTGCTCCGTGTGCCTCTGGCAGAGCTGCTCTGGCGGAGTCCGGGCGGCCGACCGTTGGATCACACACTCCCCTTGCGGAGCAGTGGGGGTATGCGTAGTAGAGCAGGGGATGTCCACCAATGTGACAGGGAAACCATGAGCACCATCCCCAGGGGTCAGATGGGAAGACAGCACATGCACACTCCTTTCTCCTCAACACATGCGGTCTGGGAGAAGAGCTCGGCCTCTAGAGTCAGACAAACTCAAGTGCAAAGCCCGATCTGCTACTTTCTAGCCGTGGGTCCTTGGGCAGTTCACTTCAGCTCTCTGAGCCACAGTCTCCTCATCTGTAAAATAGGTTAATACCAGTACCCATGTTACGGGGCCTTTGCGAGCATCCCGTGAGACGAGATATGTAAAGTGTTTAGCATGTGGCATTCAGTAAGTGGAACCTGCAAATGTTTGTGTCTGTAACATCATCATTATTACCCTCCTCCCTGTGACTGTTCAGATATCTGCCCGGACATAGGAGCCGCGCGTGTGGCTATTTAAATTGGAATCGGAAGCCAATGAAATTAACAGTTGCCCTAGCCACGTTTCAAGTGCTCAGTAGCCACGTGTGGCTGGTGGCTACTGTATCGGGCAGCACGGATCGTAGAATATTTCCACCACTGGAGGAAGTTCCCCTGGACAGGCCTGTGTATTCAGTGCTGCCGTTAGGAGAACAGGAAGCCTTTGAGTCAGACTCCCTGGGTTTGAAGCCGACCTCTACCACCCCCTAGCTGTTATCTTGAGTCTGTTTACCTCTCCAAATCAGTTTCCTCATCTGTAAAATGGGGGTGATAATAGGACTTACCTCTCAGAGTTGCTCTGAGCCTTACATGAGGCGATGCACCAAAGGACTTAGCACAGAGCCTCACACAGAGTATGTGTGCAAAAAAAACAAGCAAGCAAGCAAACAAAAAACGTTAGTTGCTATTGTTACTTCTTGCTGGTGCATGTGGACACACCAGAGCTTTGCAGCCATGGGTGGGAAATTTGGGGGGGGGTCAGATTCACAAGTTGAGGGTTTGGGGTATATCCATGAGGGGACACGGGTTGCTGCGGACAGAGCCCCTCTTCTTCCCAGCACCTCATGCCCTCTGAAGCCAAGTCGAGTGCGGCTCCACTGGGGCCAACTTACGTACAGGCTGCCTGTTCTCGGCGAAGCCCTTGCGCAGGAAAATGCAGGCGGGGCCCAGCAGGTTGTGCATGACGGCGCAGTTCTGGGCCAGCATCAGGAGCGGTCCCGGGAGCTCGCCGCTGGCTGCCGGCCCCTCCTGGCCCATCTGCACCACCGTGTAGCTGCTCTTCTCCTCCCGGCGCATCTTCAGCCAGCACCAAGCAAATACAAAAGAGAGGCACGGTGTCACCTCCCTGCCCCACGGGCCCTCCTGGCCTCAGCCTGGCTCCGGGTCCTAGAAGGGGCTCGCCTCAAGAGGAGACCCTTGAGAGTCAAACAGCAGGGTTCAGGATGCATGGGAGGCAGGAGTCAAATTGGTTCAACAGATGGAGTCTCTGATCCTTGACTGTCACGGCCGCTCCAGGGAGATCTGGGGGTGACACCCACTGTGTGGGACATGTGCACACACACGCTCACGACACGTACACACGCAGAGAATCACACACTCACGTGCATGTGGAAGCTTACAGAGAGAAGGGGCGGGGCAGGGCTTCGGCTCCAACCAATGGGAAATGCTCACTCAGAGACTAATGAGTACTATCCTTGCCCAAGATGCTCCCAAACAGATTTGTGGCCCTGCCCCCGCTGGACCCCACTGGAAGGCAGTGAGGACAGTCAGAGCTGGAACCATGCAGAGCAGGCTCAGGTGGGCTGCTGGACTGGCAGGTGCAAACACAGGGGCCTCGCTAACAGAAACAAGCAGGTGGGAGAAGAGGGAGGCCTAGGGCAAAATGGAAGACCTGAGAAGGGATGGAGAAGAACATGTCCCCACGAAGGAGGCACCAGTGGTGGCTGGGGATTTTCCACTTCATGTCTTGATCATAATACCCCCTGG